TATACATATACATATACATAATGGTATGTACGGTAAAACCAAATTACATAGAACCACTGATGGTATTAGAGGTACTATATAAAGAATCACTATTACCATTAGAGGTTCTATGGATAGAATCTCTAATATCATTAGAGTTTCTATATTTGTTAGAACCACAAACAATGTTAGCCTTAAAATCAAGCCTGCGTGGATGGTATTGTGAGAAATAACTTTAAACCAATGGACATAAGGATTTAATTTATTATATTACATTATTTTAGAAAATCACTCTTTTAAATGAGTTAAGAAACAAAAATAAGAAAGCTAATAGTGACATAAAGAAATTGGCAATGCTTACCATAGACTATCAGCCAATGACCAGGAGTAACCTAAGAATGAGCGAGACACGTTTTGAATATATATGGCACACAAAAAGCTTATAGACTGCCAACCAATGATCAAGAGTAACCTAAGAATGAGACATTATATTTTTTGAATATGGCACACAAAAAGCTCCTGAATAGAGGCATGTAACCCTGTAACAATTGGATTATACTCAAACTTAAGATGGTGTTTTACCTACATTTTGTAAACATTACAACATCATTTTTTTTTCCTTGTGTATTTTTGTCAAGGAAAGAAAATCTGGCATGATATCTTATAAGGTATCTTTCCTCTCATCTTTCTTCAATGTGAGACAATTTATATGTGAGAAATAAAGAAGTTTCAACACCCCACTTACGTGTGAGTTCAAATTATAAGCTAACTAGAAAGGCAATTAGTAATAAATCTATAATCATCTTAGGGGATGTCCACCTACATGTTAAAAAAATTTAAGTCTCATACTACTCCCTCCGTTTTTAAATACTTGCTCTATTTCTCTTCAACACGCATGTTGATGCTATTCTTTGATCACTAATATTTTTAATTCTCAATAAGTATAAATGTTTACAATTGAAAATTAATAATCTATTCATCGAGATGATTTCAACAAGTACCTACAAGATTATATTTTTTTCTTATATATAAATCACAAACATTAGTCAAAGTAGGACAAATAAATAGTGCCAAAAATAGAAATGGAACAAGTATTTAAAAACGGAGGGAGTAAAACCAATTGATTTATGTTGCAGTACCTTTTTTTTTTCTTATTTATATAATGTGGTTTTTTTCTCGCATCTTTCTTGAATTTGAGACAACTTACATGTAGACAGCCAAAAGGTTTCAACACTCTTTTTACATATATGAGTGTCCATTGCTTTTAAATGTATGTTTCAAACATAACAATCCTTATCAGTTTAAAAGGTACAATAGTTATATAGTGCACTCTTATGCACCTAAAATAGGCGGACCATGCCTATAATATAAACATTAGGTTAAAATATATGAACACATTAAAAAAAATTAAATATAAATACATAAAAAAAATGGCCATTTAATAATAAAAAATGAACATGTCTAAAAAAAATTAAAATTAAAATTGAACATGTAAAAATGAACATAATACAATACAAGAGTATAAATATGAACATTTCAATTTCATATGTTCATAATGTTCATTTTTTATAACTAAACTAGTTATTGCCCAGGACCAATTTATTCTCTTACACTAGAAATGTTAGTTTATATTCCGAAGTTTTTGTTTTTGGAAGAAATTTAGATACGAGAGTTATTTTTATTTATTTTTTTTAAGACAAATTTAGATTAAGTAAAATGGGTCCAGTGTAGAGGTATCAATTTGGATAATGAAATGGAGTTTGGATCGGGTCTGTTCGGCTTGGGGTATATTCGGTTCAAAATATCTTTTTAACCCATCTCGGGTCAGATTAAATTTGGTCAAAATATGTCGGATTCAGCTTTGGTTTGAGTCAGATCAACTTCAAATCGGATCATATTCGGTTCGGACAAATTCAGATCGGTTCCAAACATCTTTGACTGGGTTAATTTTGGGTTGATGACATTGTATTGGGTTGGTTCAGGTTTGGTTGATTTCGGTTTTGTTAAGTTCAATTTGAATACTAAGGTCGGTTTAATATTCAGTCAATTCTTATTCAGATACTTTCGTGTTTGGCTGATTTTGGTTGGGTTGACCAAATTTAATACTTCCTTCATCCCATAATACTTGACACAGTTTTTATTTTTGTCCGTCCCACAATACTTGACACATTAAAAAAATATGGAGTGAGACCACTGATCATTCAATCAATATAGCTATATAACTACTAAAAGACACACCAGAAATGACACGTGTCATTTTCTGATGTGTCCTTAAGGTTATTTTATTTTATTTTTTATTTATCAAAGAAACAAATCTTATGTACAAAAGTTCCATAACCTTATACAATATAATTACTTAAAATAAAAAAGGTTTGACATATCTTTAACACAAATATTTATATAGCTATAAAAAAGTGTTTGACATAACTTTGCTCATTTGTATACATTAGTTAACCTTATACAATTCTTTATTTTGCTCAAAATTTGTAAACTATATTTTTAGAAATTATTTTGTTAATAAAAACTAATTAGTAATGATAGTTTAATAATGATAATTATTGAAGATTACCGTGCATGGCACGGTAACTAGGGGTGTTCATAAATCGGTCCGGATTGAAAAAATGGATCGAATAACCCTGGACCGGACCGAATTAATCGGTCCGGGCTTCGGGTCTTGAAATTCTTTAATTTTTTCCGGTTTTCGGTTCGATCCAGTCCAAAACCCTATAAAAATCGGTCTTGGACCGAACCGGTTTTTTTAATTAAAAATACGCGTGAAACCTTAAATAATAATTAAAATTATACTTAATAAGCTTAGTAAATTTTAACTTTATAATTTTTTTTTTACTAAACATGCAAAAAAAGACATCCGATCGGTCCTATAACCAAGAATTGTCCTATAAAGTTGCTATAATTTTAAAATATAGTTTTTCCTTTATTTCGTGTTTTCCATAACTTTATTAAAAATTTAGTTCTTTAAAAAAAATTCTTAAATCGGTCCAAAGCGGTCCGATCTGGGTTTTGGACCAATTCTTTCGGTCCGGTCCGGGTTCGATCCTAGCTTAATCGGTCTAGTTTTCGGTTCTTAAAATTCTAATTTTCGGTCCAATTCGGTCTTGGACCGATGAACAGTCCTAACGGTAACTAGCCTAGTTAAAATAATATTTTCCCACATTTTTCATCTCCTCACTACCCCACTCACCCCACTTGCTGTTTTCTTACAATAAAAATACAAAAGATAATATATTATATAATAAACAAATATTTTAATGGACCCACTTATAATTTTTCTTAACTACGTGTAAACCTCGATGTCCCAATATAGGATGGAGGGAGTATTCAAATAAGTACTATTTAGGGATGTCAATGGGGTGGGGCGGATGTTGGCATTCCCATCCCCATCTAACATTTTCATCTCCATCCCCATCTCGCAGCAGGTTTAAAATTCATCCCCATCCCCGCCCCGACAGGTACAATTTCAAAACCATCCCCGCCCCACCCCCTACTTGGATATTCTCTCCCACCTAATCCCCACCAAAGACTCGCCTAATCCCCACCTAACCTCCACCTTTCAAATACACAATCCTACATAATTAATTTAGATTTTTTATAAAAAAAAAAATCATTCTTAATATTACACAATTTTTTTTTTGTTTTATATTATAAGTGTATTACAAAATATTATAATTATTAGTTTATATTTTACATAAATATTTTACAAAATAGTACAAAAATATAGAATTTTGTATAAGGCAGGGATGGGGCGGGTATGAAGTGGGGGCGGGTGGGTGGGGCGGGGATGTGGCGGGTACAACCTAAAATCCACCCCCGCCCCAGGGTATGGTTTTCATCCCCATCCCCGCCCCACCACCCACCAAACCGAGACCCATCCCCGCGCCCACTGGGGCGGGGATGGGGTGGGTCTCCTACTTGACCCACCCCACTGACATCCCTAGTACCATTTTTAAAACCAGAGTAATAATTATTATTAATTTTTTTTATCTTGTTACTAAGTCAATATCAAGTCATTTACGTGTCAATTTTCCATATCATTTTATTAATATATATTTAAGTAAAAAAAAAAAGGAATGATAAATAATAGATTAGGTTAGGTTGGTTTGAAATCATGTCAAGTCAAAATCAAGTCGAGTTAAAATCGGGTTGAGTTAATATTAGCTCGGATAAAAATAAATCAAATTGAATCGGGTATTTGTTGAGTCAATTTCGGTTCAATTCAGGTCTGGCCAAATCGGTCTCGAATCGAGTTTAAGTCGGGTGAAATCGGTGTCGGGTTACATTCAAATCGGGTCAAATTGAGATTCGGATTGAATTCAGTTCAGTTACATATCGGGTTTGAGTCTTGAATCTCTCCGATCAAAATAGATCAATTATAATTCTAAATAGATTATTTTTTTCAAATCGGTTCGATTCTAACACCTCAACTTGATTGTAGTTCAAAATTGAGTCATTCTAAATTATCCCACAACATTTAAAAAGTGCTTCAAAAATAGCATGGATAAGAACGATAGTCGTACTGAAAGGAGTATCCAAATTCCTCAAAAAGTGGGGATCGTGCATCACATTGACATCGCCAAAAAGTGTCCAAGAAATTAACGTCAGCACTAAATTTCAGCCACGAAAATTTATGTGGCCTAGCTTTCACCTTTTTGCTGACTCACTTGCACATCTGGCCTCTTTCTAGAGCTTTGCTGATTCATTCGGATAGTACATCTATTAATTTACTACGGAGTACTCCATATTATATTCTTTTTCAAATCAATAATTTTCACATCGAAAATTTCACCTCAATTTGTAGTGCCTAGGACATTATTTAATTTTCCCCATCCCTTTTTATTTTACTCCATATTCTTTTTGGAAATATCATTAATAAATTAGTTTGTTTTTATTTTTAATAATAGAGGTTATAACTTTATTCTCACATGAAATACATTTTTCTCAATTATTTTTTTATCTCTTATTAATTTCACAAGTAAATAATGTCAAAGAGGCAAGCAATTGGTGACGGAGGGATTAAGCATGACCGAAATTTTATTATTGAATTATGGATCACTTTGGTTTTTACATTTGGCCTTTTTTTTGTATTTGTATTTTCTATGACTCTTAAAACTGCTACATTTAATAAAAATTGCAATTTAGATAATAAACTTTGACCATATTTTTAACAAATACGAGTATTTCATATAGAGTATAAAAAATGAGATAATGGAAGATGGTAGTTTCTTAAATTTTATTTGAAATTGTATTAACTCATCAAAGCTTATTTATTCTTAAATTAATCAAAATACAATAAACTTACAAAAAAAAAAAAATGTACATATTTCCACCTCAGACTTTCTCAGTAGAAAAAAAACCAAGTGACTTTGCCACCATAGACTTCCTCTGTTTGAAACTTAGAGACAGGCTGTTATTGTTTACAACAACAACAACAAAAAAAAAAAAAAAAAAAAAAAAAAATTCTTTCACATCATATTTAAGATTCTTGACAAAATCACATTTAGTTGTTGGATTATAAATTCCAAAGATTGATATAAACCCAATTATGCTGCTATTTAGATTTCTTTGGAAATCATCTTTACTTTATCATTAGCTTGATTCAATTCTGTGGTAAGTTTATCTTCCTTTCTTACAAATAATGCTTATGATTTTCACTTCATATGCTCTTTAATGATATACGGAGTATGGAGTTATGTATGTATTCACAAATTATTAATGTGTTAATTGTTTTATAGTATGATTAATTAAAAAAAAAAAAAAAAAGGTTGTGATGATGAATGATTTATGTTTATAAGATATTTGTAATTATAAATTTAGAGTTTTTCTTGATTGATATAACTTAAGAAGTTAATCTCAAAGTTGACAATGTTTGATTGTGAATACCTATGTTTTTTTTTTTTTTTTTTTTGGTGGGAAATACCTATGAATTAATATACCGAAAAATATGAATTTTAGTTAAGGGTGGTTTCTACTTTGTCTGTTTCTAATCCCCAAAACAGGAAAAACTTTAAGAGACAAGGAAAACCCGTTTAGCAGGGCTTATTTATGTTCCTCGAAATTTTAATTATTTTTTGGTTATTACAAAATTCTGACTACATATTTTATTCTTGAGGTATCATCTGAAATCTGCGCAAATACTGATATTGAATTCTAAGCTTTTTAAGAGTTGAGGTCTCTAAATTGGATAAAAACATAGCCTGATACTCTGATGACAGTGATCTGTTGTTAGAGACCAGCCTGTGAACCGTGTGAAGTATCTTGCTTGTATATAGATGTCTTTGAAGCTGTTTGGCTTAACTTTGGTTACGATATACTCGTATATAACTTAAAGGGGAATGAATGATTGGAAAAATAGTTACTTCTAGCTGTGTTCTGTTCCTTTGTTCATTAAGGTTTTGTATCTATGAAGCCTTGTGTTTGTATTTTTCTGGATTTCGAAGCCTTTTCCATATCAGGACTAGGCTTGTCATATCCAAAAATATCGCGTCTTCTGCTCATATCAGGTTCTCCCATTAGGAAGTAGAAGTACTAGTAAAACTAAATTTCAGCAAGAAGTGTATACTGATGGGTCTTATCTGTTGATTTTGTTTAACATTTGAAGTTAATTTCTCTCTGAATTCAGAGATCTTTATAACAATTGCAGTGTGGTCTGAGCTGTATTTGACACGATATAATTGCTGCAGTTTGCTGACATTGCTGTCAAAGTCCTTGAACTTGTGCTCGTTTGTTACGTTTATTCAATGTTGCCTCTGATCACTTCCAGAACCAGTAATTTGGTTTGTCAAGATGGTAATCGAGGATAAGGTATATATCTTTTTTTGGTTTAAAGCATTCTTCAAAGTTATAATGTTGAATACAAGTATATATCATGAGAAATGCTAATTGTAGCTCTGAGTCCTATGCATAAGAAATTAGGACGCACAGAAATAGTATACATTTGATAACATTGAACAATGCAAGGTGTGTTCGTCATAATTTTCCATGTAATATACGAAGTACATTATGCTCCGTATATGGTTATGGGTTTATATCATTTTACATTATAAAATGATCACTCTTGAACATCAGGTATCATCCCCTGGAACAATCAATATACCAGAGAACACCTTCACCAATGAAAGTTCTGGTGATGAAAAAGGAGTTTTAAGCTTAGAGTATCCAGAAGTCATATCTTCTGCACAACAATATACTGAAGCCGCAGACATAATTCCAGAGGCAAGCAAAGCTGCTAGCATGATAGAGCTTGATAAACCCGTGTCTTGCCCACGCTGCAACAGCATGGAAACAAAATTTTGCTATTTCAACAATAGTAATATTAACAAGTCTAGACACTTTTGTTGGAGTTGCCAAAGATACTGGACTATTGGAGGAGCTATAAAAAATCTTCCCATTCGATCAGGTCAATGCAAGAGTAAACATGCATCTTCGCGTCCCCTACCTTTAACTACACCGTCTGATAAGCTTGCTATTGAAGAGCCTGGAAAGCTTTCAGAAACATTTTCCATTGCCTACAGAGAAAGAACCAGACTCGTTTCATCGAGTTGCTCTTTGATGAGAAACAACAAAGTTCAACATACAATGCAGGGTCCTCCGGAAACTCCTTATCCTTCGAATTTTGATTGGAATGATGAAGCACTGCCAGTTCCTTGGAACAGTCCAACAGTGGGATTGATTCCAGGGGTTTGCATTCCAAACTTTACCAACAGTTCATCTCTGTCAAACTCTGCTGAAAATAGTGGCTGTTCCGGGTATACTTCTCCTCCATGTTTTAGGAAGCATTCAAGGGATCTAAATTCACAAGACGAAGAGAAAAATGACAAGTGTTTAACAAAGACATTGAGAATAGTTATCGATCCTGAGGAGGCTGCAAGAAGCTCTATACGGAGTACATTAGGAATTAAATCTGGTAAAGCTGATAGCATTCGGAATGGGTATATGTTTAGAGCTTTTCAATTCCGGCCTGAAGAAAATGCTGAAATATTAGAAGTTGAGAGGGCATTGGAGGCAAATCCTGTAGCTCTTTCAAGATCACAGAGATACCGTGAAAGCACTTAAAAAAATACTGTGATAGTGTGATTCTCAACTTGAGAATATTGACAGTAGTTCGTGAGTCCACATTCTATGTACTAACAATGTGACTCTTTTAAAGGCATGTCTGGATAATTGGAGGTAATGAATGGATAATGTGGTGGAAGTGATGGAGTAAGAAGTGGTGGACTTGTTACCCTTCAAACAAGGGTAGTAATACTCTGCCACAGCACCACCTCGCAAGGTTAGATACATTATCTCTAATCTGATAATAATATTTCCGGCCAGCATCCCTTGCTCCTCCAACTCGACCACCTCATCCCATCTACCACCTTTTATTAGATTCCATAAGTTCCTTATTAAGTTATTAATACCCCTTTTCAAACATGCCTTTAGATTATCTGTTTGTCATGCTTCATTGATTGTCTCACTGTCAAAACAATTCCCATGTTCTGTACAAGTAGTACGAAGTATTTTGAACCATATCTAATGTCTGGCGTATGCCTAAGCAAATACTACAGTTTCACTGCACTGAGGTAGTGAGGTCTGAGCACTTGTTTGAATTTTAACAGTATTTCAGAACAAAGGCTGGTTCTTACCTTTACGTTTTTCATCTATCATGGCGTATTAAGTTATTAACTACTATGGAGTATTGGATTGTTGAGGGAAAACATTGTTCTTCTGTTTAATCCACTCCTATTGATTAAATGTAATTAACATTATTATGCTATATGAAACTCAAGTATCTCTTTCCTTTGTAAGAAACTACAAAGATGATTCCAAATAAACCAAAAGTGTTGATTATCCTCATAGTCCTTGAATAGATTAAGGAGATCAGTTACTCGAACAGTCAAACTCTTCACTTGACCTCAACAAACTATATCAGCTCCCAAACACTGAACACTTTATAAACTAGAAATTTGGTTTTTTTTTTTTTTTTTAATCTTTTTGAAATTATGCTTCGTATCTAACTGTGTCGGACATAAGTACGTGAGTCTGAGTCGCATAATCGGTGATCCACATTTTGGATCTGATGAGCGATTCCTGTCAGGCTGTCTGCCCAGCACACCACTAACCAACAAATACTGCAACATATTGATCCTCACTTTTACTGATAAGTAAACAAAGCTCAATGCTTGAAAAAAAAGGTGATAAATTTTTAAAAAGGACAAGTACAAGAATTACACATTACATTCAACTACAAGCTTATATAATTGCTGTCATGAGTATTACAACATCCCTCCTCCACACCTTACTCCCCGTCGTAACTTGTAAGTGGTAAATTATTCCTTTTAGATGATAAAGTCCCACATTCCAGAAAAATGGCACTACAATATCTTCAGTTGCTAGCTTACTAAATTTCTGTTCTAGATAGTATATACAGCATTACAGAAAATGATGTACAGAAAACCAGTATATATGCTTAGTCAGGATTCAGGAAGAACAAATAATGTTGAAGTTAAAGATGGATTCTCACTGAGAAGTGAAAACAGGAGATAAGGATCTGTCACTTGAACCATCTACCTGGCCCGATTCCTGAATCTGAGCTGCAAAGTGCAAATTCCAGAGTACATCTTCAATGGATGGTCTATCATTAGGGTCGTTTGAAAGTGACCTTACGCAAAGTTCCATCAATGTCTTCACCGAATTGTCTGGACACTCTTTGTGTACTGCCGGATCCAAAATCTGTTTTCGGGCTATCTTGTCTGCCTTAATGCCAACTTCAAACTGCAGATAAAAACAAAGCATCCATAAATAGTGTTCTATAACATAATAATGGATGAATCATAGGCTATGTTACAGACTTTTCATTTCACCTTTCAGTACTCAAGCCGGACCCTTCGACACATCACCTTGGACAATTCTTTTTCTTTGCTCTACGTTACTAGTACTCGGGCACTTGAACATGTACTCATGTCCTTCAGCCGAGTCCAAGTAGCATAGAGCATAGGAAAAGACAAAAAACAAAGAACACAATCACTTATTCACAGAAATAAAAAACTTACTAAATCTTTTACAACGGATATATCATTATCAGATGTAATTTCTCTTCCAACAATGATTTCCAAGAGAATCACTCCAAAGTCGTAGACATCACTCTTTTCATCTTGCTTCACTCTGCATGAATGCAAGAAATAAAAAAACATTGTTTGTAAAGGATAGCAAATGAAATATTATACATACATTGCAACACAAGGCTCAATATCGTGGAAAAATACTCAACAATCTATGCTCCCATAGCACAGGATAACTGTTTCTTGAGATGTGATGCATTTTATTCATCAAATTTTTTTATAAATAAGATTAAAAAAAATCTGCAGACTTTGGTTGCAGAACAAATCTTCATGCAGTAATTACACATGATTAATCGCATAATCTGAAATGTGATGCCAGGCTAAAATTGGGTACTTACATTGCTTTACCATTTTCTTTGGATCCAGAGGATGGAAGCATATTGGCCTAGAAGAATAATCAAAGTGCATTATGTCAGACTATCAGCTCTAAGCCTTTTTTTTCCCGTCAAAATGAAAGCTTGAGAGTTTAGACACAATAAAAATGATCTCTTGAGTGATACCTTATCCATGTTTTCAGCTAACAAAGGCAGATTATAGCTGTTTAGTTTCACATGAAGGCTATGATCCAATAAGACATTGGTTGTCTTGATATTGTTTGAATACAAACCCGGCATCATCCCTGTTTGGAGAAACTGAATACCTTTTGCAACTTCAACTGCAACGGTGATTCTCTTTGCCCAGGTAGGCTTTTGTCCTTGATGAATGACAAATTTACAGGAAATAAAGTGAGCAAGCATATTAAACAGGCATCTTTGACGACATTAAGCATACTGTGTTAAAGTATTTACCAAAGATGAAATCTCTGAGGTTCCCATTTGTAACTAACTCGAACACAAGATATATTCTGCTTACAGTTGAGTCTTCTGTATTGTACTCAAAGCAATGGCCTAGAGCGCTGACCAAATTAATATGTCTAAGCTTTGATAACAGCTCTATGTCATGAGTGTAGGCTTGTGTTCCACGCCGTTTTCTCACTTTTAAGCATTGAATGGCAACAAGATTATCATTGGCAAGTATGCCCTTGTACACCTGATAATCATCAAGGACATAATTGTGTCACTAAACAAAATAATATTCACAAATTTACTATTTACAAAGTAACTACAAATTATGCTTTTTTAGTAATACAATCTACAAAAACAACTCTGATATGAGAAACCATTTAATGGGGTCGAGAAATTCATACCAGACCAGAAGAACCTTCCCTGATTAGATTTGACGCATCAAAGTTTGCTGTGGCCTCCTTAATCTCATCCAAGAGAAAGTTACGATAAGCAGGAAGACCAAGGGGTCCCAGCTTTGCCATTTGACAGATCTCCCCTGCAACAATGAGTGAATAAAACTGTAACTTTCATAATTGTGGTTACCACCTCCCATTCAAAACTCAAATTCTTCACTGATGTTTTTCTTACAGTATAGGATAATGTTTATAATGACTGGTTCATTTTTGTCACACATACCGCATTATCACCCATTGCATTTACAGCTTGTTTCGCAGGCAATTTTGAATGTGTGGTGATAGTAATAATTTTGCAAGTAAAGTCTCAACATCAATGTCTGTTATAAAACTCTATCCCCTATATCATTCGGTATAAATTTGCATTACATCTCATTATACTTCTATAGTAGCTATTTAGTGGTAATGCAAATTTATGAAAACTTACACTTTAGAGGTGAGAAACATTACCATAGACTTTCTTTGCATAATCACATAAAAACTTTTTACAATCTAACACCTACCAAATTGACCATTAAGTCATTAACACTCATTATAGAAGAATTCTAAGCTCTTTGACAACAGAAAATCAGGTTTTAACTTATTAGGAAAGGTCGGCGACACACACAATGGTTTTCTTCTCAATGAAACAACTCATAACAGTATAAGTAAAGCAGCCACAAAATTGCTTACTTGCATCCAAAAGCAGCTTCGAAGGGTACATCATTGTTACCTTCTCAAGTATAACTCTTGTTTGAGGTTTTTTAAAAGATTGTTTAGAGAATACAAGTCCAACACCCAACACCATAAGACCAGCAAGTGAAGTTGCTCCGACTATGCTCATGGCTACCACAACTTTAGACCCTTTTTCTTTCCCTTTGTGAGGCGAAATCTCCACTGCCAAAGCTTCATTATGACAAAATGCATATGGGTGTTGCCTTTGTCTCCCATTCGACAAACAATTACCCCGGTAATGAATATTTCGACTTCTATTTCTTGATTTTAGACAAGCAGGCAAATCCCCAGTCAAGTAATTGAAAGATAAATCCACAAAGTTCAGGTCTGCACCACAAGTCATGTTCTGAAGTAGCATTCCATGAAACTTATTCCCAGCAATATTGACATAACCAATCGAAGGCAACGAAAGCAAAGACGGCATAAATGGCTCAACAAACTCATTATATGAAACATCCAGCTTCTGAAGCTGATAAAAGGAGCTCATATTATCAGTGATACCAAACCTGAACTTATTCCTCCTTAGTACCAAAGTAACCAATTTATTATGCAAAGTAGGAAAAGTTGGTCCTAAAGAATTGTTCCCTAAATCAAGAACTTGCAAATTAGTCAAATTCCTAAGATCAGGAACTTCACCATTAATGTTATTTATTGAAAGTTGAAGAATCCTTAACCCTTCCAACCTTGATAATGAAGTGGGTAATGATCCATTTAATGAATTATTCTTTAAACTAAGAACAGTTAATTCAGAAAGTGATCCAATCCAAAAGGGTACTTCTCCAATAAACTCATTATGATCCAATACAACAGTTTGAAGATTTCTTAAACCCAAAATTTCCACAGGAATAGTACCATTCAGTTGATTTGAACTAAGATTTAACATTTCAAGAGAAGTTAAGTTACCTATACTTTGAGGGAGAGGACCCCTTAAACCTAAGGACACCAAAGATAGGACCTTTAAACTTGGCAAAGCTGCAAGAGCACCAAATAGAGCTTCCATAGAAATATTACCTGAAACTGGAACAAACCCAATAAACCCTTGAGTATGAATTTGAGTAATGTTTTCTTCATAACATGCAATTGTAAGATATGGGCTTGGTTCAAAGCTGCAAATATCAATGTTTTGGTCTAAACTGTTTATGTTTAATGGGTAGTTCAGAATCTGGTGAATTGTGAAAAATGCCTGTAATTGTGATTGTGGCATCTGATTTGAGAAGTGGGTTTGTAGCAAAATCATGAAAAGGAGGAGCAAAAATGGACACTTGAAAGTTTTTTCCATCTGAGCTCCCCAAGAAAGTTGGCAAAAAAATTCCAAACAGTTAAGGCTTTTTCTAAGGTGTTTTATGACAGGATTTCTGGGGAGTATACATAGTAAATTAAATCTACTGTAGTAAGGGAATACTAGGACAATGTTACACTGACGTTGTTAAGAGATAACGACTCTAACATTGTACGGG